CGCGGGGTGGACATATACACGCGGCTGCTGCCCGCCCTGGCCAGCGTGCCCGCCCTGCCCAGCGAGGGCTGAGCCCGCGCTCCCCGCCTCTGGCCCTGGCGCTTCCACCCTGACCGATGTCCCTGGCCGACAATAAAGTCTGTGTGGACAGGGACCGCTCACACCCTAACAGCAGGGGCGTTCACGGAGCAGGGGCGCTCATTTCTCTGGAGACGTGCTATTACTGTCCCCACGGCTCGGATGAAACCAAGCCCGGCTCTGCCACCTGCCCCCGCCCCACGCTGCTTGCTGCATCCTTCTACACAGCATGCCCGCCCTGCATCACCCGGCCGGGTCTGCACCTGCCCATAAGGGCCACCGTGCCTGTCACCTCTCCCAGGCACGAGGTCAGGAATCCCATTCCCACTGAGGGGACATCGAGACAAAGATCTCAGGCAGTTACTCCTGGCTTTCTGGGAGCACACTCAAGGCCCACAGGGCCCCTGCCAGATGTGGGGCAGGCGGGGGGACAGCTGGCAAGGCGTGGCTGCTCGCATTTGTCAGCCCTCAGGTCGACAGGAAGGGGGGTTGGCCCCGCTCTGGCTTTCGGAGCATAGGTCAGTTCACCTTAGGGTTGCCAACCCCATGAGCAGGGATCCCAGGCTGGAGCACACAGAGTGGCCCATGAGTGGCCTTCGAGTCGGCCAGCCTCGCCGGGGACACACCGAAGGTCAGCCATGCGCCCCTGAGCTGAGCCGCTCCTCTTGCTGACCTGGCCTAGTCCCTCAGCACAGGGCCAGGGCCACAGGGAGGGCTGGCTTTCGAAGCTCCTCGCTGTGGCCAGAAGGGAAGCCCAGAGCCTGCAGGCTTAGCCCTGCCAAGCAATAACCCCACGTGTGCAGTTCCGACAAGGAGCCCGGACCTCAGCTCACTCTTTACCTTCCTTGAGCCCTGACAGCAGCCCTCTGATGCAGTGTCACCGAGCCTGGCTCCAGGGGCTCTGCGGGACAGCTTGTTGAAGGCCACACACCCTGGAGGCAAGGGGGTTAAGACAAATTCCAGAGCTGGGGACGGGTGCTCCCTGCACACGAGGCAGCCTCGGTGTGGCTGCTGCAGGCTGGGGGCTGGGACCTGCAAGCCTAGTTGAAGCCCCCACCCCCGGGGTCACCTGAGACTGGGGCCTGCGCCCCCCCACCCCTTTCAGACTGAAGCAGGATGACTGGGGAGTCTGCACCCATCCTAGGGCGTGAGCACAGGCCTCAGTCTGGAAGCCATCTGACCCGGTGACCTAAGGACACAAAACTTGCTCCTGGTCCCTGTCAAGATGCCACCTCCTCTCTGACACCAGCAGGGAGAGCACCAGAGTGACAGGACCAGGCGGCCTGGCTCTGATGACAAACGGAAGCGTCCCGGGGGCCCTGCTGGGGCTCCCAGGCCACCCCGGCTTCCCGAGCTCTTTGATCGTGACCACCTGTGAAACAAGGGGATGGTACCCCCACTTCAGAAGTGGGGACCACACGCCACGGGCAGCCCCTGCCGCTCCGGCACCACAGCAGCCCTTTTCAAACCTCCCAGGTGCCCGGGTCGGACCACACATTACACGGCCACTGCGCTCAAGCCTGATTTGGAGGGTTAACAGTAACTTGCATTTGCAGCATGGCAGCAAGACGCCAATCTCCTCTGTGCATGGCAGGTGCAGAGGAATCCGCAGGCTGGCAGGGCGGATGGGGTACTGTGGCAACCTGCTCCACATAAGGGGAAAACACCTATATCCTTGCCAGGGGCAGGGCAAGGGCCTGTTTCAGGAGCCAGGATGCAGTAGGGCACAGGGGAGGGGTCGGCCAGTCTCGCCTTTGGAAGCCATCTTTGTTCTGGCCTGGATCTAGGTCGCAGGCCCAGCAGCAGTCACATCATGGGACAGCCTCCACACGCCACCTGCCATGACTGGCTCTTACAGTCTCACATCCCTGCCCTCCTCCCTGCTGCCAGGTTCCCCGAGTGGTCAGCCAGGGGCTTCAGTCGCAGGGAGGTAGCTTGTTTGGTCACCAAATGACCGCACAGGAGACACACAGTCCACAGCAACCAGACAGATGTGCGCAAGAAAAAAGGACCAATAAAAAGAAGCAATCCAAGTATCGGTCGCAGCTTTTTCCCACCATGCTCCCCGGGGTCTGGACCAGTGTGCTCATAGGCCGCCTGGGCTTGGGCGTGGATGGCTTGGGCATATACTCGAGATTTCATACACCTTAACAAAGGAGCGGCATTAGCAGATTCATCTGGTACAAAAGCCCCACATTCAGTTTGGATGGCGGCACAGACGCCTCCCTGTAAGCGGATACCCCAGGGAGAGTGGAAGCCTGAGGTCAGAAAGACCTATTTATAGGGACTGGAACCTGGAGACCGTGGCCTGATCTTCAGAGGTGAATGAAATGCAGCCTTCGGGGGCTGGCCAGGCTGTTAGCAGAGAGGCGGTGCTTTCTGTGAGGTGAATGGGGGGGGATATGCGAGACCAGAACCTCTATCTCCTCCCATTTCAATTGTGTGTGTACCGGTTCACATAATCGTCCCCATGGGTCCCCCCAGGGACTAAGCAGCACCTCCCCAGCCAGGGCCGTGAAGTAACTGCCCCGACTGGGAGAATGCCGTGTGGCAGGTTCCAGAAAATGACCCTAGCCCAGGGACAACAGGGCCTGGAACCCCCTTGCCATGGCCAAGCCAGAGAGTCAGCCCTTTCAGCTCGGCCCAGCTGTCAGCACACAGCAAGGTTCACGTGCGAGGACCCGCCAGACGGCTCCTCACTTGGCCCATTGGCTCCTGTGATGTGTCCCAGTCTCCACCCAGAGTACCTGTCAGTGGACGGCGGCTGAATGCCAGCAGCCATCCCGCGGGCGGGTTCCCCTGGCCCGAGCCACTGGCGTCCCAGGCTCCACTGGCACTGCCCACCCCTTTGCAGACGGCAGGGCCTGCGGCCGGGACACAGCACTGGGAGGCGACCCCCCCCCCCCCCCCCCGCCGGGGCCCGGTGGCCGCAGCACCGCCGGCAGCAGCACTCCTCCGCCGCGGGCGGGCGGGCGGCCGCAGGACCAGCCCGTGGCACTGCTCCTGCTCCAGCTGCTCCGTCTGGGTGAACCTGGCCTCTGCCCCCTCCCAAGCTGGGACCAAAATCCCAGGGGCAGCTTTTGCTGCCACATTGCCCCGCTCACACCTCCCGGGGTCACTGAAACATTCGTGCAGATGGCAAAGGTGCCCATGGTCCCAGTTCGGACGTGTTTGGCCACTCATTTTGCTCTCAAAGGCAGCCTTTCATTGGGTCCCCTGTATGTCCCTTCATAACTAAGCAGTATAACGAGTACAAAAGTTCACCAATACTTCTCTCCCTCTCCCCTCCTCTAAAAATAAAATCGTTAAGTTCGCCAATTTCCCAGAACTCCCACAAGTCTGTAACTTTTTTTTTTTGGCATGGGGTAGGTTTGTTAGCCTTGGGGACAACACAGGTCTCACCCAACCATTTGACCCCCCAAACCTTGACTGCAGCGCTGGGCCCCCGAGCTTCCTGCAGACTCCTGCCGGCCCCACTGCAGGCCGGCCGGCAGACCCTGCGAGGTTTCCTGCAGCAGTGATGTGTGTGCAGCGCCGTGTCGGCCAACGCAGCGACTGTTTCTAAGGGACCGATTCATGGTGAGTTCTGCAAGAGGCCTCTGCAGAACCCCATGGCCTCACCCAGTGACAGCCTTGACCTTCACTCTACTTGGAAGGGTGGGGAGGCACCCGGCCAGCCCAGGACCAAACCCTGAAGGTCCCCCCCCCCCCCCCCCCCCCAGCCCCAAGAAGGGTCTGCCAGGAGCAACAGGACGAACTGGCCGCTCAGGCCCTGAAGCCTCCCTGCCCCCAGTGCTGTGCCAGGGTGACAAGCTGGCCTTCTCTCCAAGGAGCCTGAGGCAGCCTGCTGGTTGGCATCCCAGGCTTTTTTTCCACCCTTCCTTTTTAAAGGTTCTATTTTAGAGATGGGGAAGGAAGAGAGACACCTAGCAGTTGCCTCTCACGCCACCAGCTGGGGACCTGGCCCACAACCCAGGTATGGGTCCCAACCAGGAATCAAACCAGCTGTCTTTAGGTTCACAGGCCAGCGCTCAAGCCACTGAGCCACACCAGGCCAGGCCTTGCTTCCTGCTCCTTTTCCCTCTCTAATTTCAGAGTTCCGGCCTTTCCTGCTGCTCAGACAGAGACCAGTCCGCTTCCCCCAGATCTGGCAGTCCCGTCCCACTATGGGGCTTAGCAAGGAGGTGAACATCCAGGACTATGCATCAGCAGCTCTGTGCAAAACCTGTCCATTCCTTCTGTGAAGGTGGCCTGGTCAGGTCTGTCCAACCCTGGGGCACAGGCCACCCGGTGCATGCCCAGCTCTCCAAAAAACTACTTTTAGTCCTCACCCGAAGACATTTTTTCACTGCTCTTAGAAAGGGAGAAGCATCTACTGGTCACCTCGCATTTGTGCCTGGACCAGGAAATCAAACGTGCAACCTTTTGACGACAGTGGGTGCTCCCACTGACTGAGCCACCTGGCCAGGGCCAACCTGCTACAGTCTATAGACCTCAGGACAGAGCAGGCCTGCCTCTCCGTGCCCTGCCAGCAGTCGCGTTCAGAAGTCTCCCCTCCACACCCAGGGCCCAGCCCTCGGGCAACCAGCTGCCCACCCCAGGGCAGTGGGTGCTGGTCAGGCACACCAGGAGCAGCCCAAGCAGAAACACTTCAGGCTGGAGCGCAGGGTTCTTCAGGGGCACCCCTGCCTTCCCGTGTCAACAGCAAGGCCTACAAGGCCGCCTGGGAGCCCCCCCTTCCCTCACCAACCTGCCACCAACCACTCCTCACTTACTAGACCCCCCTTCTTTTATTCCAGGGAACCACTTCCTCCAACGCCCGACCACACACACCCAGCCACACAGAAAGGGATGAACCCTTCTCCCACAGAAACGGGGGCACAGACCCCACCTGAAGCCCAGACCACAGACCCAGGCTGGCGGACAGACCCCGCCTCAGGTTTATTTGCAAACACCACAGGAGGACCCCAGCCCCGGGCACACCAGTCCTTCTGCCTTCCTGTCGGCAGACAGAGGCCTCTACTGGGGAGCCTTCGCAGGGGCCGAGGCAGCTTTGGGAGCCTGAGGCTGAGCTGGGGCCGGGGCCTGAGCCTTAGCCGGAGCCTGAGCCTGAGCCTTAGCCGGGGCCTTAGCCTTAGCCTTAGCCTTAGCCTTAGCCTTAGGCTTAGGCTTATCTGCAGCCTGGGCCTTGGTCTGAGCCTTGGCCTTGGCCTTTGGCCGGTTGAGCCGGAGACCCTTGGCAATGCGGGCACGGGCACGTTTCCCAAGCTTGGGGTGAGCAATGTAAGCGAGTCGATTGAGCTTGCGGCTGCCGCACTGTGGGATCTTGGGCTCGACCTCCCTGGGCTTGACCAGGGCCTTGATGGCCTCAGCACGTGCGCTCATGGCCTTGGCGTTGTTGGCCTGCATCTTCTTCAGGCCCTTCTTGTTGTGCTTCTTGGCAAAGCGCATGTTCCTCAGGAACTTGGGGTCTACCTGGAGGGCAGGAAAAGCACAGGCGCCTGTAAGCGCAGCACGTGGGGGCCCCCAGTCACCCCTGGTGCTCCTCTCCGTAGTGGAACCCAAGAGACTTCTCGGGCTCCAGCCCAGGCCTGAGGGACCCAGAGGGCAACAACCAACCATAAATGCAGAAATACCCGACCCCTAGGACCGACCTGCAAAGAAATTAGCTCCACCACCCCAGAAGCCAACACCCCACCCTGCTAATGCTGGACAGGGACCAGTTTCCAGGGCCGTGTGCCCAGAGTCCAGCACAGCTCAAGTGCCAGTGCAGAAGACGAGAAGGGCAGGCCACCCCTCCCCCAGGTGGCAGGGCTGAATTTCCCACAGCAGGGCCACCCTGCCTCCTTAAAGGAAGGTGTCAGTTAAACACCAGACCCGGTACAACAGACTCACAGCAAATGAGGCCAAGGAAGAGACCAAGACACAGAAACCAAGGCACAGAGACTCGATGACTCGCCCCACAGGTCACAGACTGGGGTACGGACACAGGACCCGGCTCTCAGCCCCCACAGCCCCACCCTTCTCAGCTCGTCCTCAGAAGCCCCTGGCACAGGAAGGGAAGCTGTTCCCAAGCCCCGCACTGGGCCAGAGCAAGGCCCTGCAGCTGGCCAGCGTGGGACGGACGGCTCAGGAGGCGGGCGGCGCGTAGACAAGGCCGTTCCTGCTCTTGGAGTGCTCGGGGAGGGCAAGGGAGAGGGTCAAACCGTCATCCAGAAGCAGGTTACACCTGACCAGGGGGTTACATCCACGGCTGGGAGAGGCCAAGCAACGCTTTACTAATGGGTCTGGCAGAACCTGAAGTCGAGGCCGGCGAAGGGCCAGTTAACAGTGCTGCCCAGGCGGACAGTGAAGCTGAAAAGGTGACAGGAGAGGCCCTGGCGGGGCGGCTGCAGCCGCACAGACCCACGTCTAAGCGATCCCGCGCGCACACTCACCCCCTTAAGAGATTCGTATCTTTGTGATCGGGGTTTCTTGATGCCGTTTCTGTGCCATTTTCGGGCTGTGGAAAAAAAAGGGGGGGGGGGCATTAAACCAAAAGAGGGCTTCCTCTGATGAGACCATTTAACATCGCTGCGGCCAAGCCTGGGAGAGTCATTACTTCCCAGAGCAGGTTTTCTTGAGACCCAGGCAACCCCTCGTCACTGAGTGCAAAGCACTGTGAGTACCTAGTGGACTCCTGCCTTCTAAGTCTGCAAGCCCAAAGGTAACACTGGCTAAAACCAAAATCAGCCCCCGGACCACAGCAGGAACGTGCTCCCTTGCGCTGCCCGGGTCTCCGCAGTCCGGGCCGGGGTCTGCGGCCGAGACGCAGGCTGGGCCAGAGGAACTTACACTGGTTGTGCGTGGTGTGGTTCTTGGACTTGGCCATCTCCGCACCTGAAGGACGAGAGTGGGGGTCAGGGCTGCGGGCTCGCGGGCAGGGCCTCCCTCCGCCCAGGTGCTCCGGAAGACCTGAGGCCAGAAGCCAGGAGGCCGCAGCACGACGCCGTGCATCTGCGGCCTCCACCCGCCCGGCTCCCTCTGCACGACCCACCTCCAGTCCCCACAAACTCCGGGAGTGGTGCCCCCAAACCAACTTCCCCGCTGCAAGATTGCGCTCTCCAGAATTCGAGTTCTCCTCCGCCCTCCCTCCCATCCACTCCTCGACAACCCACGAGCTCCGCCCCCGCCTCACAGCCTCCGCTCCTCAGAACCAGCAGCCGGTCTCCCTATCTTCCCCGAGACTGGCGCCCAGCCGCCGTCCGGGAGTCGCGGATGGCTTCGGATACCTCGCGGCCGGTACTTACCCAAGTCCGCGGCTCTCGAAGCGCCTGGGGCCGGAAGAGAAAGAGGGAAACCACGGTGCAGTATGGGAAATAGGTCGTGGAGGCCGGAAGGTCCTATTGAAAAAGCTTCCCCCAGAGCCAGTAAGAAAGGTTCCTAAGGCCGAGAGGGCGCTAATCAGATAGGAAGGCGGTTCTACAAGCCTGGCCCGGCCCCTTCGGGTCTAGCCTTACCCCCTCCCTTCGCCTATCCATCCTGGACCCGGTTCCGCGGCCCAGGTCTCATCAAAGACCTGAAGGCAAAGCGGGTAGTGGAGGGATGAATTAGGCAGGAAGTAACAGATTTCTGTTTTTGAAAACCACCCTTGGAGTCCTGGCTGGTGTGGCTCAGTGGGTTGAGCACCAGCCAGCGAAGAAAGGTCTCTGGTTCAATTCCCTCCCAGTCCAGGCACATCTCCGGTTTGCCGCCCAGGTCCCCAGTTGGGAGCGTGAGAGGCAATCAATGGATGTTCTCTCCCTCTTTCCCCCCCTTTTCCCCACTCTCTAAAGAAATAAATAGACAAGCACTGGCTGGTGTGGTTGAGTGGATTGAGCCCCAGCCTGTGAACCAAAGGGTCACTGGTTCGATTTCCAGTCAGGGCACATGTCTGGGTTGCAGTCTGGGTCCCCAGTAGGGGGCGTGAGAGAGGCAAACACACATTGATGTTTCTTTCCCTCCCTTCCCCTCTAATAGAGAAAATCTAAATAAATAAATAAATAAATAAATAAATAAATAAATAAATGAAAAAAAGTACCAGCGGCATGGAGAGAGGGCTGTCAGGGGTGCCAGGAGAGAAGGGAGGGCTGAGAGGAGGGGCGCGCAGACACCGTGGGCCCGTGAGGGTGTGGGAAGGAGAGGACTGCTTAAGGAAGGAAAGAAAGTAGACTGGACTTGGGGTGAAGCTGAGGGAGACCAGGTGGCCCCTAAGTTTTCAGCTCAAATGCCTGACTGAACAGTGGTGCTGTTTATGGAAACACGTGAGGTGCTGTTTATGGGAAAAGACAGGTTTTGTTGCTTTGTTTGGGGAGAGGGGGCAGGTCACAGATCCAGATGTTTATTTTTATTTTTCTAAAGATTTTATTTATTTTTAGAGAGAGGAGAAGGGAGGGAGAAATAGGGAGAGAAACATTAGTATGTGGTTGCCTCTTGTGCGCCCGCTACTGGGGACCTGGCCTGCAACTCAAGCATGTGCCCCAACTGGGAATCCAAACCAGCCCTTTGGTTCGCAGGTCGCTGCTCAATCCACTGAGCCATGCCAGCCAGGGCCGGATGTTTCTTCTTACATGCATCGCATGTGCTATGCCTATTGGACATCCAAAATGAGTAACATCGCCTCCTAACAATTCTGTCGCCCCCTCTCCACCTCTTACAGCTGCAGTTCATTCCCCACACAGCAGTGGGGCCTGAGGGCAGTTCTGAAGGCAAATCAGATCTTGTCATGTAAAGTCTGCAACGACTTCCCCTCGCATTGGAGATAAAGTCTTTACCTCTCTTACCCGTGCCAACCACTCACTTCTCTCCAAACTCATGGGCTTCCTTCTTTCCCGCCGAGCTTGTTCCTGCTCCAGGGCCTTTGCGCTAGCTATCTTCCCACCTGGCCCACCTTTTCCCTGCTCCTTCAGTGGCGTGCTTTCTTGGAGAGCCCCCCCCAGACCCCCCTATCTAGAACAGAGACCCTGTGTCCCATCTCCCCATCTCCCCAGCTACTGTGTCCTCACAATCTGTTTGTTTCCTTCGTAGAACATCCCCAGACTCTAACCGTGTTCTTTGTTTACTTGTGTGAGTGTGTCCATTGGCCCAGGTGCCATGAGTTCAGGACTGGCTTGGTCACCTTCACTTTCTCATTGCCTGGCACAGCACTTGATGTTCAACAGGAGCTTAGTAAACAGCTGCAGAATGGACGTTCCTTGGCCGGGCAGGTTCACGGAGTGACGGAGGCTGGGGACGAAGGGGAAGGAAAATGTGGAGGCAGGACGTGCAGATGACTCCTTATGGGCTCATTCCTGAGACCGGGGAGAGAAATCTGGCAGGTGTGAGTTAAGAGAATGAGGGGCAGGCCCAGCTGCCGATGGAGCGGCCTGGTGCCAACAGATAAACAGCTGAGTCCAGCTCTTGGCTCTGCCCAAGCCTACTCCACAGAGGGTGGCACGTGGAGCCAGACTCCTCATGGCCTTGCGACGGGGCCGGAGCTGCTCATTCACAGAGGGTGGGAGCACGTTCACCCTAGACAGAGGGTTCATTCTTCACTGCCTCTGTGTCAGAGACTCCTCTGACATCCGTGGTGCTTACTGACCTTTCTTCTTATTTCAAAGATTTCATTTACTTTTAGAGAGAGGGTTAAAAAACCCGCTCTGCCTGCTTCTTTGTCTTTTTTTTTTTAAAGATTTTATATTTTTAGACGGAGGGAGAAAGAGAGGGAGAGAAACATCAATCAGGTGCCTCTCGCACGCGCCCCAACCGGGGACCTGGCCCACAACCCAGGCACGTGCCCTGACCAGGAACAGAACCTGTGACCTTTTGGTTTGCGGGAGGACGCCCAACCTACCGAGCCACCCCAGCCAGGGCTATTGACCCCTTTTCAGAATAAAGTTTTTAAGTGTGTAAAATAAAGGGCATTACAAAAGATTTTCATGCACAGGAACGATGTCTACAAATTATGATTGAATGAATAAAATCAGGTTACAGAAGAGCTTGGGTAATAAATTTTCATTTATGAAAAGAAGAAGGAAAGAAAGAAGGAAAAAAGAGAAACTTATTCCTTATGTATGACTGCTCCTACCATCTTTCTCACTTTGAAAGGCATGGCAGGTCCCCTCTGGCCCCTGACCAGGTCCCCTCAGCTCCTCACTCTTGTCACTGCCCCCCTTGCCTGGCAGCGGGGTCGCAGCCTGGGCCTATCTCTGCAGTATCCAACGGTGCACACATCCACCTCCCCGGTCAAGCTGCGGCTCTCTGCTTGCTCTGCCCCGTCCTAAATGCCAACGCTCACAATGAGGACAGGATCCAAGGGAGGGCCAGGATCGAGGGAAGTGACAGTCCTCAGGGCTGCTGGGTCCCCTCAGTCCTGAAGGCAGGGACCACGAGTGGGTTGTCAGAACCAGAGACAGCGAGGCCCCTGATACAAAGCACGTACAAGCCATGGTCGGATTACTGGGGATGGAGGTCGCAATACGGGGTGGAGAGTTGGAAGGTAAACTCTTGGTTCACTTCTCTCCAAAAGATGGGATCTGCAGGTCCTGGGCGAAGGAAAGGCGGTGGCAGCGTGGGGTGCCAGGCTGGGGCTCAGGGTCTCCCGGGAAGGGGGCGGGCAGTGCAGGCACAGAGGCTTGGGGGCACAGCCATTGGGAATGCTTCGCAGCTCAGGCCTTTGGTCTTCCCTGGTGGGGGGTGGGCTTGTCACACCTGGCCCAGGGGTGATGCCAGTTCCCCAGCCCGGGAGTGTGAGCCCGTCGTCCACACGGGGGCAGCATTGGACCGAGGACGGAGCGGGGAGCGCCCCACCCGCGGGAAGCCCTAGGGGACTCCCAGAGCTCATTCTCCACCCCGCCTTCTCATCCGCCCCCGCGCTCCTAGCTAAGTCTCCAGCCCCTGCCTGTCCAGGCTCCACAGGTTCTCTGGGGCAGTTGGGGCTCCCCTGGCCCCAAGCTCCGTAGTGGTGGTGGTGGTGGTATGGGAGGTGATGGGGCGTCTCCCTCTAGAGAGGGTTCAGGGCTGAGACAGCGAAGCTGGCAGGAACCGTGGAGGACAGTGGTCTGGTCCACCTCTTATGGTACGGTGGCTATGGTTAGAGTTTTTTGTTTTTTTTTCTAAAGATTTTATTTATTTATTTTTCAAGAAGGGAAGGGAAGGAGAAAACAGAGGAAGAGAAACACCAATGGGTGGTTGCCTCTCTCGCGCCCCCTACTGGGGACCTGGCCCGTAACCCAGGCACATGCCCTGCCCTGGGAATCAAAACGGGGACCCTTCGGTTCACAGGCTGGTGCTCAATCCACTGAGCCGCACCAGGCAGGGCTAAAGGAGCAGGCTTTGCCATCAGAGACTCCGGTGCACATTCTGTCACTCACCAGCATAGTGACTCCAGATCCTGCCTTGACACTGGGTGGCCGTCACTCACTCAGGGCTCACCTGTAGGAGGAGGACAAGGGCACTGCCTACTTGGCAGCCAGTGGTGAGGCTTCGGGGACGCATCTGCACCACACATTCACCAGGGCCTGGCTGGCAATCTCTGCGCACGGGCAGTGCTCCTGGAACAAGAGCTGAACCAGCCAGAAGGCCAGGCAGGCAGTATGGGGTCCTCCTCCGCCCCCAAGGTACCCCGCCCAGAGGAGGATAGGAGAGTGGAGTGGCCAGAGGATGCCCCCCTCACTGCGGGCAGGGATGGTTGAGGCCAGGGCCAGGAGAGGGGGCTGAGGAGCAGCTGCTGAGCCTGGCAGTGAGGGGCATGTGGGGACGCCCCGCCCCCCAACAACCCGGCCCCAGTGCGGCGAGCCAGCCGGTGAGAGGCCCTGGTGCTGGCTCGTCCGCCTCAGCGCCGGCTGCCCGCCTGGCACAGAGCCCTGGCAGCGCTGGTTTTAATCGATCCTTTTCCGCAAGCAGCTCCTGGAGACGCGGGGGTGGCTTCCCCTTGACTTGCGCTCCTGGAGGATGCGGCTTGGCTAAAAATAACCGGAATTGCTGCGCTCCCGCCCTGGCGCGGGGGAGGGGCGGGGGGGGCGCTGTGGGGGCGGCGGGTGGGGGGTGGCGCTTTGCAGCCGCGGGAAAGGGATTCCCTGGGAGGAGACGGAGAAAAGGAGGGTGGGAGGGGGTAGGGGGTGCAGGACGTGGACGGGCACGTGGCCCTCCTCACTCGCTTCTCTCCGGGCCTGCTTTCCGAGGACGGTGTTTCTGGGGCAGAGCCAGGGCGAAGGCTGGCCTGGGCCCTGGGCATACGGCACGGAGGGGGACCAGTGGCTGCGGCCCAGGCAGGGGGCGCCGTGCAGCGCGACGCCTGTTCGGAGGACATCCCGCAGACGCTCAGGGCAGGCATCCTCTCCACACCGCCCCTTGTGCCGCACT